GGATCCCTAGGGCTTTGATTTCTGATAGAGATCCGAAGTTCACTAGCAAGTTTTGGAAGGAACTCATGCGATTCTTTGGAACCTGTGTGGCGATGTCATTCGCCTACCATCCACAGACTGATGGGCAGACAGAACGACTAAACCAGATCGTGGAACAGTTGCTGAGGGTTGCCGGCAAGGACGAAACAAGCAAGTGGGACCAGCAGTTACCTCCAATGGAATTATCCTACAATAACGCTACCCATTTTGCTAAAGGACAGACATCGTTCTTCCTTAGCTACGGACGACATCCGCTCACTCCACAACAGCCTCTTATTCCTGCTCAAGTCCAACCGGCACACGAATTCGTCACTACCATGCATCAACTCTGGGATACTACGCAAATGCGCCTCCAGAAGGTGCAAACCTCCCACAAAAGACAAGCGGATAAGAGCCGAAGGGACCATCAGATACTGATTGGAGACTCTGTTCTGTTGGAGACCAGGAACCTTGACGTTAGCCATATCTCTTCTAAGCTTTGGCCTCGATTCTGTGGACCCTTCGTCGTTGAGGCATAGGTTACACATGTAACCTTCCGCCTTAAACTCCCGACCACATGGAGGATTCATAATGCCTTCCATGTGCAACTCCTAAAACCCTACAAGGACCCGAATCACTTCTACTCAGGTCGACAACTTTCGCCGCCTACTCCTATCATCACGCTACATGTGCTCTCCGACAGTTCTTACTCAAGCAGGGCGTTACAGATACCACCCAGCTTTGAGGGGGGGAAGTGTGAGAGCAGGATAGGTTTCCTAGGAGAAAGGACTATTTCTATATTTTCTAGGACACTATTGACTACCGAGAATACTCCTTTTAATCACTCGAATTATATTACCCAAAGTGGTTATTTTGATTATTCTTGGTTATCATAAGTGTATGTGTTATCTAGATTAACTGTTGCGTGCACCGAGTGTTTGCCGTATTTCGGCGAATCCTCTAGTGCTTCTAGAACAGTTGCTTCTAGAGGTAAATGGTTCCTTTTTGGAACATTCACGTTTTAGCTAGACTCGCGCCTCGCTCGGAGGGCCTCGCGAGTGCTCGCCTATAAATTGTGTTGTTCCTCGGGATTGTAATTCAACATTCATTCTATAGTTACATTCTCTCTCACAGTAAGCATAGCATATTCGATCCTGTAATAAAGTTCAAGTTTAAACTCTGCTTTCTCGCGAACATCCAAGCTGTCATTAACGACCTCAACATACAATTCTGGCGGCGCACGGTACAACTCTGTGGTCTGGCTTCAATGTTTTATTCACCAAATTATTGTCTCCAAGTTAAACCTTTCCCCCATGGCAGATCGACAACAGCAAGGTTGGGACGTTGGTTGAGAACACATGCAACATACTCCGTGCCCTGTACGTCGAATATGGAGTGAGCTTTGGTGAAGACAGCAAGGGAGACACTCCAGGGCGCCAAGATCTTCTACCCCTTCACGTACCTTGATGGTTACGCCCGTCTCGGCCGCCTCTGCATAGAGCGGTTTGTCTCGCTCACGGTGCCCTTCGGCGATGAAGAGTGCAGCCTGCCATGGAAGTTGTCCGGAACTCTTTCATATACACCAATGTGTGTTTTCTAGTCCCCCTTATTCCAATATGAGTGGCACTAATGCTTATCTTCGTGTGTAACCCCATACTTATCCCAACCCTCAGGCGTCAAATTGGCTAAGGTCGAGCGGGAGGTGAAGCCATTCTCAAAGATGATGCATACCCACCACAAAGATCATTCATTTCTCAATTGCGCCAAGAATATTCTACGCTCTCCCGACTAAATCGCCACTTACCCCGACCTTATTCGCATCTGGGTGGGTGTAGCCATTCTTCCGCTCAGCACTGTCGAGTGTGAGCACGGCTTCAGTCGTCAGAATGTCATTAAGGCAAAATTGTGTGGCAACCTATGCGATGCTCGTCTTTCCAACATCATGTGCATCTCGCTCCTTTAGTATGGCGTGGTGTATAACGATGTGCTGGAGCAGTGGTGGAAGCCAAAGAAGTGGCGGCCTACAAGGGAGGTTTGTCTACTCTCTCCCCTTCCTAAAAGGTGCGAGACGTAAGTAGCAATAGCGGGGGAGAAAGCAGAGGGGGGAAATATTTGAAGCGGAGGGAGCATCAGAAGCACCACTGGTGCGCCGGATCAAGAAGAAGAAGTCTAGGAAGAAGGGTTACATTGTACAGGAGCGTGGGGTGGACGTGTGTGCCACTCAAGACGCTGATTGTAGCGAGTCTGAGTAGGTTAATAGTAGTGGCCTTAGTAGAGTCAAAATGTCGTTATGTAAGTAGGATCATAAATTGTGCTATTGTTAGTTTGAATCTTTATGAATTCAATAGCAGTTCTTCATAACTTTCAGACAAAAGGCAAAAGCCTAGGAATGACCCTGCTTCCACGCCTTCGCGCCCTCTGACCTTCCAACTGGCTTGTCACGTATGCCCTGAGCTTTGGCGCTAACCTTGTGTCCTGCGTGTTTCCTACATGTTCGAGGGGAGCTGTGCAGTACATTCATGTTTCCTTTATGTTCGTCTTAATTCTTGCCTTCACTCTATTTGAAAGATACTCTGTAAATTAAAGGTTGCATTCATGATAACTAGTAAAGACTATACTGGTAGCGCGATGTGAAACTGAGAGAATGAATTGTGTGTCACATGCAGGGCTGAGTTCCTATATTGGTGGTGTCCCTTCTATAGTCTGCACCTACTTAGTCTACAGTACATGCAATATATGTGCGCTAATACGCGATACTTCATATGGAAGGACGTGCATGTTAAACATAGTTAGGTAGGTAGGGAAGCCATGGAATGGCGTAAGGTTTTAGGCGAAGGGAAAAATATCGAGAGAGAAGAAAGATGGACTAGAAGAGAGAGGGATACAAGAAGGGGGGTTGTAACCCATACAGTAGGATCCAGTAACACCTACCAAGCCTACCATTATATATATCAAATATATAATTTAACACACCCCCTAGGCTTGGTAGCCGAAAGCACACCACACACACAACACACTAAGCCACACACCCATGAAGCCTAGCACCCCCATACTCAGCAGCAGCGACGGCTAATCCAGCTTGGTCAACCCCTCGGCGCGTGAGGCGGCGACGTCGACAGCGAGGGCAGCGGTTGCAACGGCGGCGACGGCGGCGGCGTGGCCAGCGACACCAGTTGCGGCGGCAGCGGAGCTCGTAGCACTCGGCGGCGTTGCCGGGCTCTGCGACGGTGGGACGGCCGACGCGAGTTAGCCATCGGCTGCGGCGAGGAAGAGGGGACGCAGGGGAAGGGGGCGGTGCTTCAGCAGCGGAGCCCGGGAGCGTGCCGCCCCGTGTGGCACGCTGGCTGCATGCGGGCGTACTGGCCATCGCTAAGACCGAGCGCTGGCCGCTGCCATCCGCGCACTGGCGCGTAGACGCCGCCACGGCAGCACGACGGCGCCGTCCTGGCAGCACGACATGGCCGTGGCGGCGGCGCGGAGAGGACAGGAGGAAGGAGCGGACATTGCGGAAGCGTGATAAGCAGGCCCAGGAAGAGCAACCTGCTCTGATACCATGTTAAACATAGTTAGGTAGGTAGGGAAGCCATGGAATGGCGTAAGGTTTTAGGCGAAGGGAAAAATATCGAGAGAGAAGAGAGATGGACTAGAAGAGAGAGGGATACAAGAAGGGGGGTTGTACCCTCTACAGTAGGATCCAGTAATACCTATCAAGCCTACCATTATAGGTATCAAATATATAATTGAACAGTGCAATGATGACATAAGCATTAATATGCATGTATTCCCCATTAATATTCTCGTTTCCATTACAAACATTCCCTATACATGTTGTAAGCCTTCCGCTAACTTCAAAACTCTGTGGTTTCCACCTACTCTAGATCTTTCCCCCTTATCAAGTACTTTCGTTACTTCAACACACTCTAATGAAGTATTCCTCCGGGCTCTACTTTCTAAGTTATGATACCCGAACACTTCTTGTTCCTTTTTCCAATTCCAGTACAATGGGGAGAAGTCCTCTCTGAAGCACTCTGGTTGCTCTTCAGTAAGCAAGCACTCTGGTTGCTCTCTGAAGACAAGCACAACTAACAGTGCGACCCATGCCGACACATGTGCGCATAGTGAACCACCTCCCACCCATTTCCCACCCACCTCCCACCCACATCCCCCCCTTCTTCACCGTGGAGAAATTGGAGCTGTGAAAATCATACTAAATGTTTAATCTGTATGACATCTCCTCTGGTTAATGGATGACGTGACGAGGGTTCAATATTGGCAATGAAATCAAGATATCTTCTACAGAGTGGATGATCCACAACCTGTTTCCGCCGAAGGTTAGCATCTGACCCGTGGTCAAGCTGACGAGGAACGGAGATCACTATGAGTTGAAGGTTTTGCTTGCCCGACCCTCTGCCCTCCACAACGGCAACTTTCCCTGCCCCAACCTGGGCGACCCCAAAGTCTGGATGAAATGGAGGGCTGGGATTGGAGATTCCCCGTCAAGGCGCCCAAATCTATCGTTTGTGACTGACACCCGCGTCTCGGTTCGGCTGAAAGGCCTTACAATCTTTGCGCTTTGTCGAATACACACAATCAACTGTCCGCCCGACCGTCGAACCAGCAGCCGAGACGTTTTGTGCAGTCACCAACAGTGCAGTGGTTGCCGAAAGTCCCCGTCGCCGTCAAGTTTCAGACGGAACTTCAAGAATCGCACGGCGTCCGAAAATGTTGCACTGGTGGCATCACGGCGCGCGGGCTTTTCTTCGGGTGGTTGATTCCTCCCGGATCATCGCCCAACCATCCAGGGAGGAAAACGGAACATGGGGCGACGGCGCGACGCACCAGGAACAGGTGGCCTGACTGACCGCGTATCAGTGGAACCTCAGCCTCCTCGGGATTGCCGCTAACCATTCTGAAACTGTTGATGCACCTGAGGAACGAGATACGGTGCCAAATTTCAGGCCTGAAGTCCTGTTGTTGTCTGGCATTCGTTCTTCCCAACAATAGCAGAATGGTTGTGGCAGCGTTCCTCTGCCTCTGTGGAAGCTGTGTCTCAGCAAAATTCCTTCGGAAACGGAAGACGCTTCTGCCGTTGAGCCGGTCGTCGTCCTGCTAGTAACCACCTGCTAACCAGTATTAATATTAGACGTTAATAACTAGCACTTTCTCGTGCAATGAAATAGAAGGAGCGAGTTCCGTTGCTGAAAGTGATACAGCGCAAGCGGTCTCGAGTCGCCATAACATACGGTGGCTTAAGCTGCAATGACCGCCGTTTTGTTCAGGAAGTTCCGTTCAATTTCCAGTAGCTTGATGCATACATTAAGGCTAATCACGGTAGAGTAGTTTAAGGTTCATCCGTCCATCACAAGTAGAGGAGTAGCGGAACTGTCAACCGGAGCAGTGAACCTCGCCTAGCCGCATAGCAGGAGCTTTCGGTATTTTATTTTCCAGGATTATCCTCAGCCGTTTCTCGCTCCTTCGTCGTTCTATGGGATATCCATCGGTTGACAGAGAGTGGGAGAGCCAGTCATTGCTCATCTGCCGAAAACCGGCCTCGAATTTGACAATGACTGACATAAACGAGTCCTCCTCTGTCGGCTACTCCGAATCTTCCGCACGGTCCACCAATGGCTGCCATTCGAGCACCACCAACGGTCACGTCACGTCATCACTGACGTCATCTACGACGAAGGCAACGCCAGCTGGCAGCACAGCCTGCACAGATGGTTACAAGTCCGCCGACAATGACGCCGGAACGACGAACGTCGCCAGGCAAGGCTTGTCGGAACTAGGTTCAGCTGAGAACGGCACGGTGAAGAGTTCAACGCCGGCTGTTGGAACGGAATCGACGGAGTCGAGATTCTTGGCCCGGCGAGCAGAGCTGGAGCGGGAATGGCTCCGTCGTTGCGCGCCGATTCTGCTGCACCCGACGCACGACATTCACGCGGGCCACGCGCTCGTGCGCGTGTTCTTCCGGTTCGTGCGGGAGGGGGAGGAGGCGGAAGCCCGCTCGCGCGGAAAGGAGTGGTCGGATTACATGGCTGCGGGGGAGGATTTCGTGGAATGGGGAGAAGCGGCGGAAGCACGGGAGAACACCGGAGGACGTGAGGGGGAGGATGGAGCAGCGGAAAGGGGAGGAGCGGTGGAGGGGTTGAGGAGCAGGGACGGGGAAACACCAGAGGATGTTAGTGGGATCGATGCTGATGACTTGTTATGCGAGCTGGTGGTGGTCTATGAGGTGAGACGCATGGGGTCGAAATAGATTGACCAGGCGCGCTGAACAGGCGACTACCAGCCAGTGGCTTGCTGGATGGTTAGCGAGTCCAACAACATCGCGTTTCACAAATTTGGGATGAACATCTCGGTCGATAGCTGCTCACTTGCTGGCACTCTCATGCACGTTTCCTGCTCGTTTTGATGACAGCCGGATCTGTAATGCCGTGATTTTCATGTTGTGTCTCCGTGCGGTGCTCTGGCAGGGCGAGGCTAGCTACCGACGGCTGAAACCTCATCAGGTCAACCACATGGCCACTTTCTTCTACATGTCTTTCAACAAGCTAGTGTACGCTCCTCCCCCTTCAACTCAAGCTGTTTCTTATCGTCGTGCTATGGTGACGCTCTGCTTTCTGTCCAACATGGTAATGCCTCTGCCACGTTTGTTCTCCTCGTTTGTTTCTCTCCCGCAATGCGTTCAAGTGACCTCATACGCTGTCTACTTGAAAACTCACAGGTGTAAAACGACCAGAATTTAAAGGGTACTGACCAGATTTGCACCTCGCCCTCGCTTTACCTGCCTCGTGTCCACCTTTCACTCCCGTCCCAACAGGTTTGGCCGAACTGCAGACATTGACTATTTAACGATAACAGGTGTCAACCTCTCATTGGACCCCAACTTGAAGCCCTGGAGAAGCGTGCGCACCACTGACCACTGCGGCACGCAGGTGAGGAAGGGGGAGAGTGAGACGACTGAAGGTGGCAGGGTCAGTTTCGGGGTGTCTTGAAACACGTGGAGGCGCGTATGCCCCACTGACCACTGTGGCACTCAGGTGAGGATGGGGGGAAAGGGAAAACCGACAGAGGAATGAGGAGGGAAGAGAGAGGGGACGGGAGGTCCAAAGGGTGAGAGTGAGGAGAGAAGGCCAGTACCTGAGGAGAGCAGACGCACCTCTGACCACTGCAGCACGCAGGTGAGGATGAAAATAGCGAGTGACGGCCTGAGAGGACAAGCAACAAGAGCAGAGGCAGGCGCAAGACGGCTGAATGGTGTTCATGCACCTCTGGCCAGTGGCCACTGCTGCGCACAGGTGAGGAGGAAGAGCGAAGGGGGGCGACAGGAGAAGCGAACAGGAGAGGGGGTAAAGAGAGGAATAGGAAGGAGTCCGAGGAGAGACTTGCGAAGGCGATGCCTGGAGGCGACAGAGAGGAGACGGACGCTGCAATGCTGAATCTGGACTCGAGCCACCTCAAAAGCAATGCTGGTTCTGGATCTAGTGCTGTGGTCTGGTTTGGTGCTGGACCATGTTTGGCTCGGACATGGTTTCGGCATTGAATGTTATGCTTCTGATTGTGTGTGTGCTGAAGTGAAGACATGGTCGCAACTCGCAGTGCAACAAGGGCAATCTGGTTTGCTGGCTTTCTTTCTCCAACCCTTTTTGACAATCCGACCCTTCTTGCTGCTCGTGCGTTGATGAGCAGACATGGTCGCAGGGCAACAAGGCCAATCTGGCTTGGTGGCTCTCTCTCTTCCACCACTACACTGTTGACATCCCCTATGACAAGCTCCAGGTATGGTACCTCTTCCAATTTGGACCTAGACTCTCGTCCACCACTGGACCGTGGACATTCCCTATGAGAAGAAGCTTCAGGTACAATCTCACTTCAGACCCATCCTAGACTCTCTTCCACCGTTATGACACTGTCGACATCTCCTATGCGAGCTCTAAAGTATAGCCTTTAAAATTTTACTGTTGATCTGAATCTTGGTTGCTCACTCCATTCCTCCCGCTCTATTTCTGTGCCACACCTCCCGTTCCTTTCTTGCTTCTAGATTCCTCCCCTCCCTCACCTTCCATCATCTCTCATCTTCCCTTCCACTCCAGCCACCTGTCCATCCCTTTCCTATCTATAACCCTCATTCCTCTTGGCTGTTTTCCATTCCCACCCCCCTGATCTCCTCAAATGACAGAAAGACGAGGAGGCGGAACACCGCCCTGTTATTTATGTCAACACAGCGAATCACCTTATGGGGGAGACTAACGCCAACCCCCATTTCCCACTAACCACCTGGAGGCACTACCCTCTACATCGAGGGGGGCCTCCTGAAGCTGAACTCTTTGCACGCAAGAGCATACTGAGCAAGCCAATTATATGGAACCCATTCCCAGGGCTTGTGGCCAGCTCGTGCTTTTGAGCAGACTAAGATGCTACTATTCCTACACTGAGGGGAGGGGGGCGTCCTGAAGCAGAGCTATTTGCCCACTCAGCAACCTGAGCAAGCCGATTTTGTGGAACCTTTTCCGGCGCTGGTGGCCAGCATGTGCGTTTGAGTCGACTCAAAAGCAACATGTAGCCATTATTCCATGAACAAAGGAAGGCCTTGTAAAGTGGAGCTATTTGCACGCACAATCATACTAACCAAGCAATGTAGTGGAGCTATTTTTTCTTCACGGGGGTTCATATCTAGCGAACTCAATGTGCAACAGTATCTTCTATAGAGAAGAAATGCAAAGTTATGCTTTTACTTATGCTCTGTTTCCAAATACCTGGGCTGGTAACAAATTGTGAAAGCGGGGATGCCAGTGTGCAGAGCTGACTGGGGACATGTGGTTGCAGGTGCATTACCTCGCCGTTGGCTGGTACCTCTCTTCCCACCTTCCTGGTGTTCAGGCTAGCAGCAACAGCAAGCAGTGAAGACACTGGTTGACATTTAGGTGATTTTCGTCAGGGGGCAATTATAGACTCCTAGGCTTACACCGGAAAGCAAGACAGTCTAAGTCACGGAGGCTTCTGATTCCCTCCTACATTGCAGATCCGGACCTGACGATGTCCGCATTTCAGCTCCTCCCGTCCGAGGTGCGCAGTAGTAGAGTCCACGGCGGCGACTTTTGAGCCGACTCAGAAGTCACCTCGCGGTAGTAGATTCCACGGCGGTGCGCGCAGCACCACTTATTCCGCGTTCAAGTGCATCGGGGGACGAAGGGTGCACTTTGGCAGCTCAAGCGGTCTCAGCGACGACGAGAAATCTTCGCAATCTGGATGTTTCAATTTCGCACTCCGCGGGGTGAGTCACCCCCTGGTGATGTCCTCCAGAGGTGGCCTGTCACGCTGGTGGCCGGCTGCTGCTACCGCCTCTGCGTGACGCACTTGTTCTTCAGCCGGTCCCAGTTCTGCTGAATCAGAAACCGCATGCCCTTCATCCCCACGAGATTGTACAGGTACTCGTTACCACGGTTGTCGCGACCCGTTTTCGTCGCCCCGACTTCGTAAGAGCACTTGTCCGCGTTCTCTTCGCCTGCCTTGTCGAACCAACCCGCGCTCGCGTCGGGGTCGGTCGCTGCCTCTGCGACTTCGTGAGCGATGGTCGAAACCGTCGCATCGATCGCAGGGTTGCCGTTGGGCGACGTGCTCTGTGCTCCGCAGCCATCCGCGCACTGCCCGTGGTGACCCACTAACGAGTATACAACTCCATTCGACCCGATATAGTCCATCGTGTGATATCCGCAATACTCGGTACAGTAACCGGGGATCATAACATCCTTGCTGGTGAGGAGCAAGTAAATGCCGTGGGGGTCGTAGGAGAATGCCTTGCCATCGCCGACCTTGCTTGAAACAACTGCGACGGAAAGAAGGGTTCGGGATAATGGTGTGGTTATATGCAGCTCGAGGGTAGTAAGTGCTTGTGAAGCGGCCGAAATGTTGAATTCTATACCGAGTATGCACATAGCGGGTCGTCAAATCCACAGCTCAGCACGCGAAAGGGAGATCCAGAAGCCTCGCGGCGGAGCTGCTTACCTTTCCAGACCGTGTTTTCGCCAAAGCTCTTGCCGACCGAGTACTTGTCGTAGACAGTCCCGGATAGCCTCACCTGGGAAGAGAACAAAGAAACAGAAGGCTGTCTGAGGCCCGGATAACACGCGCTGCGATAGCACGCCTCGCTCGTAATTCTAACATAGCTGAATGAGGCGGTTGAGTAGAAATACCCAATTTCTCAGGGCGTCCAATTCGTTTCGTAATTGAATCACGCTACACGGGGAAAGGTGCGGCGCGGCACCGCTAACGGCGAATGAAACGTACCTTCCCGTATGAAAAACGCCTTGACCCATCCCCTAAAACCGAATACAATGCGGGCTCCCTCGGACGTACATTCTTGCTGACGTTGATATTTGAGTCGATTAAAAAATCACTCTACGGACTCTGTCGGACGTACCTTCCTGCTGACGTTCTTCTTTCCGCCGTCCAACTTCTGAAAGTACGGCTCGTTGATCGCCCACCAGTACTTCACCTTCCGCTCTGACGGGTCTCCCTGGCGGTTTGAGTCCCGACTCAGCGACCGGATAAAATTTTCGATCACATTCTGCCCGGAACCCGCGGGCCAATTTCCATAGTAGATTATATACACGTTCACGGACGGGTTTCCGGTCATCACGGGCCCGCCCCAGTACTGCATCGGAGCGGCTGACGTGGCGCCGCCCTGGCCGCTTTCGCCTTTCTCGCGCTTTTCTTCCTCGTAATGCGCCTTCGTTTCGAACATGTGCAGCGGCGGACGCGAGCCGCGGTCGACGATGTCGGTCAGCCGGCGCTGGCGGCGGAACTCCTCGTGCGCCTGCCGCGAGCGCGCGACGCGCCTTGGTGCACCGGCGGATGCGATGGGAAGTGGCGAGAGGCAAACGAGGGCGAGGAGAACGAGAAGTGGGAACAATCCGTTGGCGAACTTCGCCATGGTGTTTCGCATTCACTGCTGCCGGGTTACTCGAAGGCGAAAGGAACCAGTGCGGGAGCTGATGATAAGCACTGGATTCGAAAGTCTATATAGCCGACGCGTGGCGTTATTGTTTACGCATCAGGTCGCACTAGACTAGAACAAGCTTCATGTCCACGCGATCAAGTTTTTACAGGAGCAAGTTCGGAATGATGCGAAAGTCGGGATCACGGGGTACTACCTGCGAGAGACAAGTTCAGAATCCATTAATGATATGAGTAGAATTCCTGGCATTATATACCTGATTCACAAAGTCGGCAGTGCGCACATCCGGGACAGAGGGTATGGCGTCGCGGTGTGAGACGTCGTCGCCGTGGTCCGAATTCCGCAATTATTGCTGTGCTGTTCCCCCCACGAGACGTCATTGCTTCATTAGCTTCACTGTCCAGTGAGCAGCACTACAGGGTGGTATAGTTGATCAGTGCTCGAGCGTCAACTGCACTGCACCATACCAGAACGTACTTACACACACAGAAACGTGTAAAATCGCTTTTTAAATTCGGAACGTCGACATCTCCTGAAATGAGAAGAATGTACCTCGGCCGTGCTGTGGCTCCAGTCTTTGACCGAGGTTTCATTCATCGTGCCGTGTGCCTCCAAGCAACGTCAAATAATTTCGCGGCTCGATCTGCCACAGGGCTGTTCAGGTGTTGAATTCGGACGACACCAATTTCGTCGGCCAATAACGCTCTACACCTGTAACTAACGAGCGAGGTGCATTGACGCCACTTGTAAGGAATTACGATTCCTTACTGGGGCTCGCCACAGCGAGTACACGAGAACGAGTTCGCGTCCGCAGGCTCGGCGCACAAGTCACGCACCAAACCAGCCCCCACCGACCTCGTTGGCCCAAACCTCATCCCGACCGTCTCGAACCCATTTTGACCCCGTCACCCTCGGGACTACCAAGCCCTTGACTGGTCCAACCCTCGACACTCAACCCTGGTGGCGGAAGGATGCTGATGGCGAGAGGACGTCGCAGAAGTTAAGGGCGCGGGCGTCTCCGATGCCGTCAGATCCTATCCGATGGACGACTGGGATTAGCCGGTCCTCCCCTTCCCCAGGCGTAGACGGAATGATTTCCCGTCGAAGAGTGGGCGGCGTTTTCGCCGTGTTTTTTCGGGTACGTTCGTTAGAGCTTTCGTAATTTTCGGGTGTTCTGGCGGAGTCTTTGGATTAGCTTCCGAAAAAAAAGCGAAGGCTTCGTCATGAGGAGACAAGTGCACAGGAATCCTCGCGCGGTCGGGAGTTGGTCGTCAGGAACGCGCGGGGTGGCGACAATGGCGGGACGTGCCATGAAGCTGCAGGGTGAAGTGTAGCTGTGTCGCGAGTACCGGCGTTTCTGGCAGGCTAGTTGCAGGAGATGGACGGGACTTCAAAACTGTCTCGGCAATAGGCGGATCCAACAATTTCGGAACGACACGATCGCACGAAGACGTGTGGGTGTGTAGTTGTGTGCGAGCAGCTGGGATTAACGACCTCGGCGCTATTCAGCACCGCGGCCATCAGGAGGTGATGATGCTATGCTGGAGTTAGTGAACTCAGCGAGGGCAACTTCCCGCGTGGGGAGACATTTTTCGTAGACCAGCGATTCATACCCCCACGATAAACGAAAACGGAGGCCACCACCCTTGGGTGTGTATTAAAACAAGAAGGTAAAATAGTGAAGGCTGGTCCAACTTGAAAGAGGGCTCCCCGTGGTGACTTCTCTTGGAAACCTCAACTGACAAATCACTGTTCCAAAGTGATGCGTGTAGGAAAAATGAAGTGTGATTTCAAAGCTGATTGGATCCCGCCAACATGATCCTTGCGAGACGAAACCCGTGATGTGCCAACGGTGTATTTCGGACAAGTTTTCCTCGTCAGGGTTAGCGTTTTCCTGTGCGACTGTTGCATGGTGAGTGCATGCGACGGGTTGAGGCTTTTGGATCAAGTTGGGCCCAACTCGGTTTTCAAGTTGGGCCCAACTCGGTTTTCAAGTTGGGCTTGGGTTCATAATTCATGCAAAGAGCACTTCTCCATTTCCTATACGAAGCTCATTTTCCGGCTAGTTGCAAGCTAGTAACATGCGCCTAGTTACCTAGTTCTGCGTGTTGACACCATGTTTTTTCCAGTTTAGTGCCTAGGAACGGTGTGGAAAATGTGGTGCGGCGAGATACGGAGAGATTGGCGCGGCGAGAGGGAAAGAGAGATAGTTGCGTGGCGGGAGACAGAGAGTAGTGCGGCGGGAGAGAGAGAGAGAGAGAGAGAGAGAGAGAGAGAGAGAGAGAGAGAGAGAGAGAGAGAGAGAGAGAGAGAGAGAGAGAGAGAGAGAGAGAGAGAGAGAGAGAGAGAGAGAGAGAGAGAGAGAGAGAGAGATAGAGATAGAGAGAGAGAGAGAGAGAGAGAGAGAGAGAGAGAGAGAGAGAGAGAGAGAGAGAGAGTGAGAGAGAGAGAGAGAGAGAGAGAGAGAGAGCGAGAGAGAGAGAGAGAGAGAGAGAGAGAGAGAGAGAGAGAGAGAGAGAGAGAGAGAGAGAGAGCAGCGCGGCAGGATAGAGAGTGTAGCGCGGGAGAGAGATAGGGAGAGTGTAGCGCGGCGGGGGAGAGAGTGTAGCGCAGGAGAGAAAGAGAGAGAGAGAGAGAGAGAGAGAGAGAGAGAGAGAGAGAGAGAGAGAGAGAGAGAGAGAGAGAGAGAGAGAGAGAGAGAGTAGCATGGCAGGAGAGAGAGAGTACTGCATGGTAGAGAGAGAGAGAGAGAGAGAGAGAGAGAGAGAGAGAGAGAGAGAGAGAGAGAGAGAGAGAGAGAGAGAGAGAGTAGAGTAGCGAGAGAGAGAGAGAGAGAGAGAGAGAGAGAGAGAGAGAGAGAGAGATAGAGAGAGAGAGAGAGAGATAGAGAGAGAGAGAGTGAGAGAGCAGCGCGGCTGGATAGAGAGTGTAGCACGGGAGAGAGATCGGGAGAGTGTAGCGCGGCGGGGGAGAGAGTGTAGCGCAGGAGAGAAAGAGAGAGAGAGAGAGAGAGAGAGAGAGAGAGAGAGAGAGAGAGAGAGAGAGAGAGAGAGAGAGAGAGAGAGAGAGAGAGAGAGAGAGAGAGAGTGTAGAGTAGCGAGAGAGAGAGAGAGAGAGAGAGAGAGAGAGAGAGAGAGAGAGAGAGAGAGAGAGAGAGAGAGAGAGAGAGAGAGAGAGAGAGTAAGAGAGTAGCGCGATGGGATAGAGAGAGAGTGACGCGGTAGGAGAGAGAGAGAGCGAGAGAAGCGTGGTTGGATAGAGTGTGTAGCCCCGCGGAAGAGTGTAGTGCGGCGCGACGAGAATGACATGGCGAGGCGAGAAGGAGAGCGGATGAGAGTTTCGCTGCGAAAGAGGATGTGGGGCATGGAGATGGTGACAGTCCCACTCCTTTCAATGAGCACTCACCCTCTCCCTCTCTCTCTCCTCACCGTTCCCTCCATTTACGCGCCTCTTCCAATCTCTCCGCGCCTCTCCCTCTCTATCCTCGCCTCTCCCTCTCTATCCGTGCCTCTCCCTCTCTCTTCCTGCCTCTCCTATTTCCGCACCTCTCCTTTTTCTGCACCTCTCCATTTAGTTCCACGCCTCTGCTCTCTCTCCGCGCCTCAAACTCTATCTCCGCGCCTCTCCCTCTCTCTCCGCCCCTCTCCTTCGATTTTGCAAGGGCTTTCCTTCTTGCGCTCCCACTCTGAACGCCTCTCCCACTCACCGTATCTCTCCTGCTCTCCGCACTTGTCGGTGTGCACCTCTCTGTGTCGTGGTTTTTGGTATTTTGCACTCATTATTTCTCCTGCAGGTACTTTGGAATGACATCTGAGGGGAAATGCGTGCCTTGGCTCTCAAAATCAAGGTCCTCAACTCCTCTTTCGCAAGGTAGCGGGATGGCTTGTGATTTGCGAGAATCATGCAAAATGTTCATTCGTATTTTTGTCACCAACTTTCGCACAAACACAAGCTGGCCCCCCAAGAAATATTTGTATTACAAGTTTCCAACCAACACACTCTTGAGCCGAACTATTACGAGTTCGGTCCAACTTGAAAGGGGGGTCACTATTTTCCACCGGTCGCCGAAAGCGTTAACTGCTAGGAGCTAAAGCAGTGGAAGCAGAACGACGGGAGTACTGGAACAGTTAAGGGTTAGCGGCATTTCGGGCTGCTGCTCGCTCAACTACGTCGCCCGGAAATCACCACCCCCACGAGGTAGCAGTGCCTTGAGTGGTACAAGTCCATGGTGACGCTCTACCACGCCGACGACAGGGAGGAGATCCTGTCGGGTGAGTATTCTTTCGACATAGGTCTGTTGCTAGCCCCTTGATGTGATTCTCCTCAAGCTAGCCTATTGAATATGTGACGTCCCTTCTCTGTCCTTTGCTCATTACACTCTCGAACTTGTGTTGCTTGACTTCCTGAGCAAGAATTGACAAGCGCAAGGCGCAGCAGGAGCTGCGCAACTTCGTCCCGGTCTTTGCAAACCTCCCGAAGGCTGACAGGAAGGTCCAGGCCGGGCTGACAACCATGCTCCAAATGCAAGATTGGAGGGATAGCTACCCAAACCTGGTCAAGTTCTAGGCAGCAGGAAAGGCAAGGAGAAGGCTGTAGATGAGGAATTGCCCCAAGTAGAGATGGAAGCTGCTGCTGAGGAAGTGGAGGAGGAAGAAAAGGAGTAGAAGTAAACAGGTTTTTTAATGTAAAAAAAATTCCAGCCTTTTTTTTAAAAAGTGACGCTGATTTGTCAGGCTTTTTTTTTTAAAGTAGAGGCTGATTCTCTAGCCTTTTTGGGGGGGGTGAGGCTGACTACCACTCCAAGATATTCCAAGTGAGGATGACAGATCAGCCTCCCCCAAAACCAGTTTGGGGCCCTGCACGTAGTACAAATGGCCTCAGAGGCCAACACTGTTGATATTACCAAGGCCCTTTGGCCTCATGACCATTAGCGGTTCTGTACTCAGCTTGGTCTAGTCCTAAATGCCTCTCCCTTGCTTGTATCCTGATCTTGTCGAGAGACACGCTGGGGTTGCTCTTGAGATCCTCAGGGAAGGGTCTCAGGTGCAGAGCCTGGGGAGTTATGGGCGCACGTACCCGTTATTAACACAATGGTTAGTGACTAAGTACTGACATGGTATAGAGCCAAATGTCTCGGGTTCAGTTCCCAGTGGGCACTGCTGGAAGTGCAAGCGCTGCAGAGGCCTTGCGTCTTCCGACTATCCCAGCGAGGGGGGGTGTCA